GAACGGATATGGAAAAACACAATTCAGAAATGCATAAAATAATTGAGTCAATGCTAACCACTTATAAAAATGATATGGAAAACGTAATTGCAAACAATTTTTTTGCAAAAGATCGAAAATTTAATCATAACCTGTCCGATGAAATCAGGATTTGGCACTTTGATGAAAAAGAAAAGAAAATTAACATTCTGGAACAAGCCAGCAACTCAAGTAGTATGAAAACAAGAACAAAACTCAGATTACTGTTAACATCAAAAATGGAGTCATACTTGAAGAGTCGGTTATCAAATCTTGATGAGCTGCAATCAAAGATTACACAACACGTGAAACTTGGCAACGAATTGTTTACAAATGATATCCAAGGCAAACTAAAATCAATTGATTTAAACTTTGTCAATGCTTCCAGTCAATTGGATACCACATCTATTATTCAAGCTCACTCTGAAGACTTGAAGTTGCGACTTATCCAAGAAATTAAGAAGCATCTTATCCTGCCTGAACCCGGAATTGATAATATAATCTTGCAAATCAAGCAAGAATGGTCTTCATTGGCAGACAATTTGATCAAGGCCAAACTGCAGCTACTCACTCAACAAGAATCAGAATGCAACAACGCCATTGAGGAAACGAGAAATCTATTTTTTCAAAACATTCAAAGATATTCTACCTTAGAAGAATTCCAAAAGCAAAAGGACGAAGAAATTGCTCAGGCAATGACTTGTTTCTCAAAATTTTCAAAAACTTTAAATTCAAACGATAAAAGAAATGCAGAAAATAATCTATTCAAATTAATTGAACGTACAGCTATAGAAGTTACGAACAATCTAACGATTTCCTCAAATGCCAAAACTCAGGTTCTAGAAAAAATAATAGAAAATTTGGTTCAAGAGTTCTTGAGTAACCTTGATCGCCAATTTCCCACTAAGGACTCCAATAATAAAACCATTCTCTACATAAAATCCGAAATTGATAAGTTTTGCACCATTCAGTTCGCGATAGCAAGTAGTGCACTCGCTTCACAAGGTAACGATTGCCAAGCTTCTGCTCGGGCTGATTGCAAACTCGAACTTGAGAAGGAATTTGAGTCGCTGCGGAACGACAAGGTTATTATTAACACAAACAATAAACGTGCCTTCGACGAATTGTTTAAGTCATGCATGGATCAAGTTATTAAATCAATAATCCCTCAATTTTCATGTGATGAAAATGGATCCAATCTGAGCGAGAACTGTAATGAAATAATTATTCTAGAGGTTATCAAGCTGATCAATCTCGGCCCATATGTGATTGATGAGAATGTCGTTCGGCCAAAAATTTTGGATTATCTTACTCAAAATAAGCAGAACATCGCACAAATCTTTCCATCTGGTATGGTCTACACCCCCCAAAGTCCTGCTCAGTTTGCCAATATTGCTGGACCAAGTACACGCATTAACTCGGAGCTAGCTCCTATACCTCAAACTGTCCATAACAAGGAGGAACCAAAAATATCAGCAGATAAGGAAATTGAATCAATAATAGTAGAATATGACTCATTAGTAGCAAAACAAGATTACCAAGCCATCGACTTCAAATTTCTTAGTACGAAACGGCAAGAGCTATGTGACGCATTTGCTACCAAGTTGAATTCCAACGGGATAGCTATTGGGTCCTGGGTAGAAGAATTGAAGCAAGCTCTTACTAAAAGGCAAGACGAATTTGAGGAAGCCGTTCGAAAACTAGCGCGTCAAAAATTTATTGACGAAGACCACGCTAAGACTGCATACGAATTTTACAAAACTGAAATTGAAAAACATCGGAGCAATTGTGAATCATCTCAATTCCTAACACCAAAAGACCTAAATGGCTTTCATACGTCAGCGCGAAACGTAACCAAAGCAAAATTCCATGACCTCACCAATGAACATGCTACACAATTGGAATCCCTAATTGAGGACTATTTTCAAAACCTATGTTTGGAACAGGCAGAAAATTCAGCATTAGAGCCCGCCATCGGAATCGATTTGGGTACAACTTTTTCGTGTTTTACGATATTTTGGGAAGGTCAAATGACTGTTATTCCCAATTTTGGGAAAAGAACAACACCAAGTTACGTTGCCTTTAAACCAGATGGGACACAGCTGGTTGGTGAAGAAGCTAAGAACCAAGCATTTATCGATCCAGCAAACACAATATTTGATGGCAAACGTTTAATTGGGAGACAATTCGATGATCAATACGTTCAAGAAGACATGAAGCAATGGCCATTTAAAGTTGTTCAAGAACTAGGAAAGCCAAAAATAGAGGTCTATGGGACGACGTATCATCCAGAACAGATTGGTGCAAAAATTCTATCCAATCTTAAACAAGCCGCTGAGAAATTTCTAAAACGTATAGTTACCAACGCTGTTGTAACAGTCCCTGCTTATTTCGGATGGATGACAAGGATGGACAACGTCAAGCCACTCGTGATGCCGGAGCTATGGCTGACCTTAACGTTATTCGAATTATTAACGAACCAACAGCAGCAGCATTTGCGTATAACTTGGATCGACAAAATCTTCATAAAACGCGCAACATTTTAATATACGATTTCGGTGGGGGAACCTTCGACATTGCTATTTTAAATTTGACTCGAAACCAGATTAGAACTCTAGTCGTAAATGGAGACTCTCATTTGGGAGGTGAAGATTTCGACAGTAGTATTGTCTCCTACTGCATCGAGCAATTTAAAGCGTTGCACGACATTGACTTAATGGAAGGACGGGACGACAATCAAGATCCGGTCCTACACGCCAAGGTGCAGCGTCGAATAAGAAGATTACGTCATGTTTGTGAGCAATCTAAGATTGAATTATCACAATCAAATTTAACCCATATCAGTCTGGGTAGGATTTATGAAGACCTCGACCTTGAACTAGACTTAACACGACTAGAATTCGAAAATCTTAATGAACACCTCTTCACCAAGTCAATCAACTTAGTAAATAAGTCCTTACAAGAAGCAAACCTTTCTAAGGATCAAATTGATGAAATCGTCCTAGTCGGTGGATCCACTCGCATTCCAAAAATTCAAGAATTGCTTACAACCTATTTTGGAAAACCTCTAAGCAGCGCTGTAAACCCTGATGAAGCTGTCGCTTGCGGTGCCGCCCTGCAAGCCGCTATCTTAACCGGGAACTTGGGGGAACAAATGAAATCCAAAAAGTTAAATTTAACCCACGTTCAACGAGCTCTAGTGGAAATGCGGGTGTTACCCCTTACGCCATGGGAGTCGAGCTATTGGACGGCGCGATGTCAGTCATAATCCCGAAAAACAGTCCAGTCCCAACCAGCGAGACACAAACGTATCTTACCGCATATGATAATCAGACCTCCGTCCTAATCCTACTTTATGAGGGGGAGAACACAACAGCAGCGGCTAACCATAAAGTTGGCGAATTTTATTTGAATGGAATCCCTCCAGCAATGGCAGGCCAACAGAGAATAGACGTCACAATGGCGATCGATAGGGAAGGAATTACCCATGTCACTGCGGTATGCAGAATGGACGGAACACAACACGAACTAACGGTTAGAGAACATAAGGGAAGAATTAGTGCTGCAGAGAAAAGGGCACTAATCGAAATTGTCGAGGATTAATTTGTGGATTGGTATTAAAGTAAATATGTAGCTATACAAATTTGAATGTTTCCATTCTCATTTTGTCTGATCAACTATGAGAGATGTAACAAACATTTTATTCATGAACATTGACTTTTGGATTTATATAGGGCTATTTTATTATACTGTTTGGGGTTGTACGATGCTCCGTAAATTACAATAAATATAAGTGTGCAAATATTGGAAAATTTTCGCACTTGGTTGATCATAACTCTGGTAAAAATAAAAAATTTACAAAACCCCATACCCAATCTTATTAAAATAGTGTAAGAATGGTATTGGTACACATTTCATCAACATCAGTTGACATTTTCTATTGAAAACTCTTTAATGTAACTTTTTGAGGAGAGGTATGTGCTTAAATAATTTGTGATCTTTTTCGTCGTCAGGTATTGGTATGGCTAACAAAACCATCCTTCTTATTTTCATCAAAACTTTATATGAATTCTAGAAAAAATTACTGATATGTCTGAGTAATTAACCAATTGCTTAATTTTTTAAAACGTTTATATAAAAAGAATATAAATAGAATAGAATAAATTGAATAAAAAGAATTCTATCCATACTTAGTTTAATAATTAGCAGGGCTGATATGTAGTTGTTCTAGCTAGGTCATAATTTCACATCAAATAGAAATTACAAAAAAAATATTTATTTAATAAGGGCCAGTCAGTACATCAGGCTAAGTATGATATTAAATATTAAATAAGTATTTTATTAAATATTATTTAATATCGTACAAAAATGTCCCCCAATACTATAGCACGAAATAATATCATACGTAGGTACTCATAATTCCTTCAGAATATACAAATATAAACATTCAGATAATAACTAACAAAACACATATGTAGCAATTGCATATAAACGTGTACATTATATGAAATATAAACTACAGATAGATCTATCTGTTTATTTCCATAGTAAATCACCTTCATTAAACATTACTTAAATAAATCCCCACTACACACACGCGTGGAATTCATGTCGTACAAACTGTGCTGTATACGAATAACAGATAAAAAGCGAGTAATAGACTTATGATACAGACCATGGTCTCAGTTATGGTCCATAACTTATGGACAAGGCCATCATTCAATGTCAAGCACAGGACGTATGTGCCGATAAATCCATAATTATGTAGTGACTATGCATTTTTTTTACATTGTCATTATTCGTCATCTGTTAAATCGCAGATCTCTCTCCATTCGCAATTTTAACTCGGTTTTATCCTCATTACGTGTTTCCCAAGTTTGTAACAAAATGATTTCTTACATCACATCTTTTCTCTGGTGTTCCTTGCTATACGGAATAATCATACCTCTCATGACCCTTACAGGGATTCGGCTTCTGGTTAAAAAATTACGTGGCAAGGTCGATCCACAAACGAGGTCAAGGTCGCAGGGAAAACCGTAATTGTGACCGGAGCTTCGGATGGAATTGGTAAAGTCACCGCGGAAGAGTTTGCGACCCGTGGGGCCAGAGTAATTTTGGCCTGCAGAAATGTGCAAAAAGCGGAAAAGGTTGTGGAGAATATTCGCTCTAGGACAAGGAATGGCGAGTTGGTAATTAAAATTAATTTTTCAAAAACTCCACAAACTTCAATTGTTAAAATTATGTCATTTCAAGTTGGATTAGTTGCTAATGTCATTTCTTAAAATTACACAGGTTTAATTTTTGCAACCATTTATTGCAGATAATAATGCATCTCAATCTATCTTCTCTCTCTTCGGTGCGAAAATTTGCCGCCGAATTTATCCAAAAGTATCCAAACACTTTGTCCATCCTCGTCAACAATGCGGGAATTTTAAATCCTCCGGGAATTCGAAACGTAACGGAGGACGGATTTGAAGAAACTTTCGGTGTGAATCACCTCGCCCATTTTCTTCTAACCGACCTCCTCCTCCCAGAACTTAAAAAACTGGAGCCGAAAATCCCGCCGAACCAAGTCGCGTTGTCATAGTTTCATCGGGAGCGCAAGCCTGGGGAAAATTGCAATTTCACGATTTGATGTATGACAAGACGCCGTTTAACGATTACAAATTTCTGTCCAGATTTTATTGCAATTCTAAACTGGCGAATAATTTATTCAACCTGGAACTCGCTAAGAGGCTTAGGACCGAAAAGGCGAATGTCAACTGTTACACGCTCTGTCCTGGTATCGTGGCCACTAATATTTTTAAACAAAGCGCTCACCTTTTTTTCAATCCGGCCTACCAATCGAAGCCAATTCACAAATCTTACCGGGTTTTATATAGTTTAAAAAATATAAATTATACTACGGAGATATGGAATAATTTTCCTCTGATCGGTAGTCGGATTTTCATTACTAGCATACCAAAAATTTGACTACTGGTCCATTTCTAATCAGTTAGCATTGTAGTTTACCTGGCGATATAGAATTTCCAAAAACCATTGAATACCCTAAATTTTAATTTAATTTTAAATTGCGCCTTATGTTTAAAAACATTCCTAAAAAATTTCGTATCGCCGCTAGCAATAAAGGTGACATAATATCTGTAAATTTATCTTCCATCACACCTGGTACAGTTGAGATTAATGGTGATTTACATGTTGTTTGAAGGGTGCTCAAACCACGATGCATTGCGCCCTCTCGAAATACTTGACCCATCATAGCGGAGAGATGTACCGAAACTGCCAATTTTGGGATTACAGTAGACGACCCAAGCTGAGCGAGGAGGATGCAATCACTTTGTGGGACGAAAGTGTCCAGTTGGTCGGAAGAAATTAGCTACATTTTAAAACGTATTTCTTCATATTTTCTTAATAATCTAAAAAAATAATGGGAAAGTGAGAAATAAAAATTGTGTAATAAAGAATTAATTAATTAAATAAACATACATTGAACAATTCATTTTTAAACTAATTAACACTAAAAAATCTGTATAAATATAGGTCTTTCCGGAAAATAAGAATATGCCGAAATATATTTACACTTTTAATGGATGTTATGTATGAACAAATCGAATATAGGATTGTTCAATAGATTTAACTGTTTCCAACAAAATTCCTGCTGATTGCCTTAATTTTACTATAGAGCACGAAATTTGATGCATCCGTGTAAAAAAATCAAGCATACCTAAGGGAGAACATGTCCATATAAATGGTGGACTAATCATTGTTCCATAATTCATTGTCACATCCTTAAATAATGGCAACAATATAGGATGAATTTTTTTTACTATTTAGTATTTCAGCATGGAACTTCTTTTGATTGAACGTGGGATTATAGGGATTCGGTACGCACACGGTTTTTCGAAATTTTGTTTCCGTTTTGACCTATTGACCTTTACGTTTGAAGGAGTCACGAAGACACTGTGGGTACTCAAAATTGTGCACAAGTTACGACGAAGTTACGCAGTATTAAAGGAAGAAATTAAAAAAATTAAATATTTTTGCTACCATAAAATTTCAAATATTTCCAGATATTTATTTAATCATTCTCATAAAAAATAATAAATAAAAAACGTGCAAAAAATTTGTTAAACTTGGATACGGAAGTCCATCAAGACCCTGTGTCTCATATAATATTATTTATTTAATCATTTCGCATGACGGATTATACGTCCTACATTGCGGACTTATAAAATAATTGTTTTGTGTAATTAAAAATTGTCACTGTACAGCATTTATTTTTATATGGTACGAATACATAAAAAATTAAACTGAAAATAATATTGAGACAAATAATGGTCTGCACTTAAGGTTTTGAGAACTACTTCGACGATCTGGTCCCCAATATTCCCACTATGATTTACTTATTCTCCCTACTAAGTTCTAAAGTGCATGATGACAGCAAATTCTACATCCAATAAGTTATCACATTCTTCATCGCCATCACATTGTGTAATACATATTTAGTGATATGCTTATTGATATTGATATTAATTCCCTAATGAAGATTACAGAAAGTAATTGAAAGAATGGAACATTAACCCATTTCCTAAATGACATTTATTATATCCGTTGAAGAAAATATACATAAAATCTATTCATCAACCCTTTTAAATCCTCCCGCTTCCAAACCATCCGTCAACATTTTAAGCTCCATTAGAGCAAACATGCTATCATTTCCACCATCTTGCAAACTCCAGCCCAATCGAGAATCTACCTTCCGAACGCTAATTTCAAACTGTGCGCCTGAAACTGGAGATTGAACTTTGAATCTCGGGTAAGTTAACATTGAGAAGTCGAAACCACTTTCTATAAGTAGCTTTTTCTGCGTTTGCAATGTCCAGTTTCGAAGATCCTGCAAATATTTAAACAAACATAATTAAGTAAATAAAAACTGATCACAGTGCGAAGTACAGGGTGGGCTTAAAGTTCTTGACACCCATGCAGAACGCTGTTTTTATTTTACAAGAAATTTTTTTTCTCGCGAACTATTCAAGATAAAACACTAATTTTTTTTGCGTTCTGTAACACAACAATATGACCGCTTGTGAGGAAAAAAGAGTGCAAATCCAAGCACTATTTGGAGAGTGGTGGGGGTTCTCCCAAATTTCTCGAAAAGTAGGAGTTGCCTTGAACACGCTCAAGTTGTGGTGTCGCTGAGCCACCGTACAAGACAAACCAGGGACAGGAAAACCCATACTATTCTCCCTAACAAGAAAATACCAAATAACAAGAAATTTAAAATCGAAAATTGATGGATCAATGACAAAAACTGTTAAATGACTAAATCAAACCAAACGGAATAATCAGAAGACAAATAATTTGAACGCATGGGCGGTTCGGGGCTAGGTTACACAACAATCATGTGGACAGGCTGCCTGTAGGCGACATGTGAAACCACTTTTCAGCCAACAGAATATTCAAGGACGGATGAAATTTGAAGAAATTGTTAAGGAAACAGGGTTTTTGCAGTACGAAAAACGAGGTCAGCACAAACGGTCCCACATTTTTTCCACTGATGGAACTTTGATGGAGGTGTTTCAGTCAGGTAACAGACATAATAAGACATACTAAACCGAAGACCCTAAGTTGGCCCCTCAAAAACTACGACCAAAACATGGCCCTAAAATTCGGCGTGTTCTGCTCACAATGGGTCCACAAACTCCACCTTACGGAAGGAGGTACCGTCAGCGCCCAATGTTACAACGACAAAATATTGCCTATATTTATTGGGGACCTCAGTATGCAAGGATTATTTCTCAATCAAAGAAAATTAACATTTCAACAAGATGGTGCCACACCACACAAGTAAAAATTGTCAGCACCATTTTGGAAGAGCTACCTTTCGGAAAAGGTATTTGGCCAGCACATGCACCAGATTTGCATCCAATTGAGAGCCTGGGTTCCATTCTAAAGGATTCCGCCTAAAAACCTCCTTATCCAACAAAAAAAGCAGATTTATTCAAAAATTTCCGATCTGAATGGGAAAAAACTTCATAGACCATCTTGGAAAATTTAGCCTAATCTTTCAAGACAGGAGTGGATGCCATGATCGACACATCAGGTGGACACACTACATATTGATGCATAACTGTACCAAATTTCTTTGAATTTGAACCACCCATTAAAAAGTTATTCACTTTGATATTTTGTCATAAATTTTCTGTCAGAAACTTTAAGCCCACCCTGTATGCTCTACCACGTGGTCTAAAATTTGCCAGTAAATTGTAACTAAAATAAAATATAGTATTATGCAGTGTGCATTATTAGAATGATTGCTTAGGGTAACAATATAATAACTATGACTAGCATGCCTTACAAAAGGGTAAAATATGTATTGCTACTCCTCAACCATGGCAAAAGTTTGTTACCCAGCCAGTAATTAATTCAACCTAGGGTTGGAGGTTGCCCTGGGCATGAAAATAAATGCCCGGAATTTTGGGCATTTGCCGAGGGCATAAATGCCCTAGGCATTTATTATAACATTGGCCTTATGGGGGCATTAATTTAAATGCCGGGAAAATAGGGCAAATGCCTGATGCCATAAATGCCAAAATTCCCAGGGCGCGGGCAACCCTCCAACCCTAATTCAACCACTTGCTAAAAATGCCGTGGGTACCGAATTTTTCAAAAAAACAGTTTAAACTAAAAGGTAGTTACCATTCCAGGTTTCATCAGCTAAACATAAAATGTTTAGCTTTTTCTGAACTTCTGAAATCCAGGTTCTTCCACTCGCATGGTAATTCAACATTCCAATCAGAACGGTGACGACTTCCCGATTAATTTTGGGCAATAGTTCCTTAACCATTTGGTTACTACTGACTGTTCGAAGTGAGCTAAAGGTAGCTCGTCGACTACCACTGTCCTCAAATATGTAGAGAATTTCAAGAACTACGAGGCCCAAGCTGAACACGTCGCTCGAATTTGTAATGTTGCCACCATTTTCCATTTCGGGACTCATGTAACTCCAAGTTCCGGCGATAGAGGGCGATCTGGAAATGTGTGCGTTGCCTTCATCGCCATGCGTTGTTAACCTAAAGATATTAAGTTCCTATTACCAACATGTGTTTATCAACGTATCCATACAGTCCATTAATACCAATGAAAATCCGCAAACTACTTTAACTAACCTTTCCCCCCATGAAGACGTTGCTAACCCAAAGTCTCCAATTTTCCAAGTGTCTCGCCCCTTACTAAAAATATTTTCAGGTTTCAAATCCCTATGAATTATTCCCATTTCACTTATATGTCTCAAACCGGTAGCAATATGATCTATAATCGTCATCGCAGAATCCTTCCTGGACTCCAAACTTGGACAATTGTCCAACCATTGTCTCAAAGTTCCGTCAGCACAATATTCCATCTGGATGTAGAGCGTTGGCCCGAACGGTGATAACTTCATATCACGTTGCCCCGATGAGTAAGAACTTGATTCATCCGAACTTGTTTCGTCTCCACTGAAAGTTGAGTTGTTTTCAATCCAACACTGATTGTATTTTATTACAAAACTACTCCCAACTTTTTGTAAGAGGCGGACTTCTCGTAAAATTTTGTCAAAGTCTTCTTCCGACTTGGCCAATTTTACGAGCGGGATTAACTTAACGGCATAATATTCTTTGTCCACGGTATGCTGGGCTTTATAAACTGTGCCAAAACTGCCGGATGCGAGTGGACTTCCGCAACTTTTAAGGGATTTGTTCACCCAAGTGGCTGATGTCATTGTGTTTATCACACTATGTTTTCACAAATTCACTGCCAATAAAGCGTATAGTGAAATGTTTTCACTGAAAACTCACGTTGAATTGAACACAAATGAACAAAAACAAATTAGTGATGGATTTATCGAGAGAACATTGAAGTGTGTGAAGTGTGTGAGCAAAAACTCGATATTGCTGTCTAAATTGTACAGGCTGTTATCACAGGATGTGATAAGATATAAAAATTTGCTTACCGCACACAAATTGTATACTACAATGGCAATTACTTGTTTCTCTGTTTATGCCTTTATTCCCATGTTATTCCTTCTACAGATCAATTAAAAGACTGGCTTCAACGTGAAACACGAAAGAGAAGAGATTAAGAACAGCTCCTACTCATCATTATACATACTATTTAATTACTTAAAACTGTAACATATAATCAAATCAATCAAATAAGATTATAAGAATTTTTTATAGGTATAATATGAATACATCTTTACAAAAATCTGTAAAACTATTAAAATAATAAAAACTTTTTATCTAAAGTGTACATATCCGGAGTATACGGACATCTCACCTGTACATCCTCCCTCAAAATATATAATTGTTGAAGATTTTTCTAAAACGGAGTCACCCTTTTACCACTTTTTTCCCTTGGAAATAATTTCCATAATTTTCACCCGGATGAGAAACGCCACCCCCGGACCAGGTGACGCTGTTCTAACGAAATGAAGATCATTTCCTAAAATACTTGAATCAAAATAAAGAAAATTTATCTTCCATTTGTCAATTATCGCTCACCACAAAATTGCATTAAGTTAATTGTTAGCTATGCATAGACAAATCCATAAATTGATTTTTAAAATATTACTTTAAAAAACTTTTAAAAATTGTGAAAAGACGTTACAAAATCCTACATTTAGGAAACTATATACCAAAATGAATTATATAGTGGAATTTCTCAGTTGGTGATATTTAATTTTGCAACATTTCGTTAACAAACATTATATGTACATATAATTTATACCTGAATGTTTCCCATAGTTTATGGAGAAAGTTGATCTCTTGTTTTTTACAGGGATACAAATTACACTTGTACAGATCTTAATTTTTAAAACAAAACTTCTAAAATGTTTTTACACGTCATGAAACCTTGTTTGTACTTTGAAAGGGTGGACTGGTTCAAAGGTTCTGGTGAAATTCTGGAGTTCTGGTGAAATTAAAGTCTTATTGCCGGCTCCCTTAGTCATAACATTGCTACAAACTCAAAATATTCTACAAATACTAAATTCCGTTGTTAAGAAGTCTTTAATAATTCTCCTGTGTAATTAAATTATTCATATCTTAAATAAGGGTATAAAATTTGAGATGGTGTATGAGTTTGTGAATTCGAGTTCAATCGATTTTGGATTGTCAATTTCGATGAGCTGTTGTAAATGGGTGCAAAACAATTTAGTTATAAGTAATCCAGAAAAGAACAGAATAAAACATATTTTATACTATTATCTCACTTATATTGCAAATTTAGCTATGCGGAATAGTGCATCTGAGGAAGAGTATTTGAATTCCAGACAAAAATGCGAAATATATCTCAACCAGTTATGTAAACCTTATATACGCAGCTTCAAAAATGACGTCTAAATCATGCATAATTATCGACACCCTTATAAATAAACAAGGTCCCCAAAAAGGGGAAATCTTAGTGACACTTGTGTGCAGTAACAGGGAGTAGATTCATTTTCTTGCACAACATTTACATCGCCACTTCCCAAACTATTTACATATATGTAAACGAATTTTGTGGAAATTCAATTAAATTATTTTGGACCTATGGAGAATGAGAATACAAATTTGAGATTATGGAAAAGAGTGCGAATTAAAATGTGGTACTCAAACCGATGGGGGTGGTTGCAGGTATTGGTTAGTTCGCGGAGTGGTGATGCAAATGTTGTCCAAGAAAATGAATCTACTCCCTGTTACTACACACAAGCGTCACTAATATTTCCCGTTTTTCCGGACCTTGTTTATTTAATACTTGTAATTGGGTAATGTCATTGACAACTGTGAGATTTTTATTACTTTTAATATTATTGCATAGCACCACCACCACCATGCAAATTTAGCAGCTTCATCTTTCAACAACATGGATATTTCTGAACCGATTTTGCTGATTTTGGTCTTAAAATGTTCGTAAGGACTTACTGCAACTACCAAGCAATGACTTAGCATTGTGTAATTCTCCGGTAAATTACAGTATATAGAAGTGTGCAAATATTGGAAATTTTGCGCACTTGTTTACCTATAACTCTGGTAAAAATTAAAAATTCGCCATTCCCTCTCCTTAATCTTAATTAAATTGTATAGGAATGATCTGATTCAAATTTCATCAGAATCAGTTGACATTTTCTATTGAAAATGCATAAATTTTAAACCCTTTTTTACGAGGGGTAAATGCGTATCTTAGTGATTTTTTTGGTTGTCAGGTGTTTGCGTCACTAAAAAATAGTAATATTCGCTCTTAGTATCCAATAACCTAAATTTCAGGGTGCCGCGAATCTTCATATTTAAAATTTTGAACATTTTCTTAGCATGTAAACTTTCGCCTCTATGGATATGGAAACTTCTAACTATTTCTGTCCCCACCACTTCTCGATTGTTTTAACCCCCTTCGCCTCCAACCTCCCCAGATCCGTTGTTGTTGTTAATTCGGTTAAAAAATGATCCCCTTGATGCCGGCGATCCAATCTCCCCGCTGGACGTGGAACTCCCAGAGTTACGGTTCGCCGCGGGAACGTTAGAACTGGTGGTGGTGGATCTTCGCCGAGTACCTCGGCGGATATTTTCTGTAATTGGTAGCGGAAAAGTTAGAATTAAATTTTGTGTTGGTGGATAGTAAAATTAGTTTTGCAAATTTTCTTCTGGGTAACTTTTGTCTTCTCCTGAAGTTACGGCAATTCCAAGTGGGTGGATATTGCGGTCCTTGTCTGACGTACCAACAACTAGAACCAGATATCCTTCATATAATAACTTACGTATAGGTTGCATCCGCTTGCAAAACATTGCTTTTCGGGGAGAATGATAACAGCCGGCGCGTGGAAATCATAATTTGTAAGGTTTTGTTTTCGTTACAAATAATCTTCCCTGTCATATACGGTTGGTCGACATCAATTGGGATTTTTTCGCTACAGAAATTTTATTAAGTAAATTAATTTAATTGAATGAATGTATGATTCCACTGGGTCAATGTAGTATTCTATTGGGTGAAAAAATCAACGGTATTGGCTTTCGTATTATTGGAGAAAAAATTATTTTTTTGGTCATATAAATTTCATCCATTATATCTAATATAGTTATGATTTATTCTGACATTGTACTGATGATCCAGATATACAGAAATATTTGTGTTAATATCTGTACTAAATAAACCTAATTCCTCGGAGCATTTGGGTGTTTACAGGATCCGAAACATAGCCAGTCGGGATCACAATCATCGGTGCCTGAACAACGGCCACTCAAAGAGTTCCAACACCAGTACGAATTAAACTCTATTCGTCGAAATCTGTTGTCGCCGTTGCAGTATTTCCAGCAGCGACCAGCTTCACAGCCGTAACTGTCCTGGCGTCTGCGGAGGGCGTTAACATGGACGTGGTGGCAGTTTGCGGGTGAGTTGATTAAAATATTGATGACTAGCAGAGTGGCGACGATGGGTAGGGATCGTGAGGGGACGAACATTTCTGAAATGGTAAATTTGACGTAAATGGAAATTGTGACAAGACCAAAGAATTGGCAATTTTGATTATACCAAAAATGGGGATTGGTGAGGTTTTTGAGTTTGGTAGTTTACTGGTTGGGGTGAAGTTTTTAAATGGATGAGGAATAACGTGTAGTTTGTAGGGGATTTTATGGTCGAAATATTATAAAGAAAATACGTCAACATTACGTTTAAGGATTTATAATGAACAATTAGAATATGTGATAATAATAGAGAATAAAGAGGTTGTAATGACTGGCATAATGGTAAGGCGTAATAAGAAGTTTAAAATTGAAAATTAAGTAGAATGGAAAATTAATTATTTATTGTTTGTACAATAAACAAATATTGTGTGTCCGGATAGTGTAAATACTTTAGTTAGTTTACATAGTTTAGTATGCATATTTTAATAGAGGGTATTTCTATTTTAATACATATACATGTGTATACAGAGAGTGTGGACTTGTTGTATATATGTAAGTATTTATGTATTGCGGGGGTGACAATAAGATAAAATAAGATTTTCTGATTGCATTTTATGTATTTCCATTTGCTATTGCAATGCGATTTCATACTTTTCTACATAATTTAGACATATTCCTAGGTACAGAAGTTTTTACATTGGATCACTAAATAATTAAAAACGCGAATATATTGGTCATTAATAGGTACTTCAGAGACAAATTTAGAAACTAACTTCGATCCTTGAATTGCATCAATTATGTATTAAGTAAAATTTGACCTATACTTTTTATTTTTATTTTTTTACCCTAACTTAGGATTATTTTTCGACAGGGTTTTGTGTAAGCGGTTGACAAGATTTTGGGCAGTCGTAGAGTTGAAGTACACATATGAATTGTATGGGATATTGTAAGAATGTTGGGATGTTACGGAAAATTTCAACGGGACGGACTTTTGTAAATAATGCGTATAAAAAATATCTGTATATGTACATATGAGTTTCATAAGTATAAGATCTTCATTATATTTAGTCTAGTTTTTGTTTCAGAAAATTTATTCGCTTAAGAACATCTAGTTATTAAATCTTAAACATTTTAAATAAAGTTCTGAATTATTTTAACTTTCTAAATAAACCTATTCGGGCCAATTATCAATATTTGGGAGATACCTCGTTACACGTAGTCATCACAGTCCTGAGTTATTATCGTTCATAACTAATAACGCTGGTAAAACTTATCAAAATTCTCACTCTCGAACAAAGAATTACATCCTTGCACAAAAGACCTTATTTCTTTTCCCGCCAAATCTCCCCATCCAGCCAGCTCCGACGTTGAGAAACAGGTCGAAATTCCAGAAAAATCTTCATTAGCAAAGCCAGTCCAACTTGACCTTCCCGTAATAAAAATGGCCTTTGGAACAAACCCAAAGTTGGTGGCGGATAAGCCCGTAAAAGTGCGTTCGATTCCACCCAAGTTGGCGGATGTAGTTCCGTTGTAAATGGAGACGGACGGTGTTGCCAAGTCCAAGGGTCCGTTATACCGCAAGGACATGGTTAAAGGAAGTGTCCAGTTTCTGCAAACTCTCGTCTCCGTGGGAGAAAAGACGTCGAAGGATAACAAATTCGTGAAATTTGTCTCGTTGAATCCAACCCAACTGTAACAAGTAATATAAAATACATCATATTTGTGTAGGAAAATGAATGGTGTATATAAACTATTTGACGGAATAAAATACACTTTACAATCTTCCACTTAAACCGAGAAGAATACCTACACACTACTCGATAAAGTGAAAATTTGTTAAGACGGTGAATCGAAATATCACCAAAAATATCAACACCAACAAATTCCATGATTTTTTTCTAAAGATTTTCAATATCACTCACGATCCTGAGTAACACAATGATTTGACATCCCTCAACAAGTGCGAGTACGCTGTAAGGTCAGGTTCCTTAATTTGGAATCGAATTGCAATACCTCCGGAGTCAAGTTCTGTGTAGAATGTGTTGTTGTTCTGTGTAGAATGTGTAACCTAACCAAATGAGCCAACTTCTTGCATGTAAGCAAGGGTCAAACAGAAACAGGATGCGAGGGAAAATAGGTGAAGAAACATGGTCACGATGTTTGTCTGCAGATATTTGCTACTGAGTAATTTTGCATGGGTGGCATGTATGGCCATTTTATGGCCAGTGTCACATTGCGTCAATCAGGCATTGCGGTGATGAAATGATGTCAGGTGTAATTGATTTTTTTGGAGATAAGATAATTCTCATGACCCACTTGAAGTTTATACGTATTTAAGTGACAAGTGTTTGTTACAAATTTGTACATATAATTATTGACATTAATCGATTATGGACAGGTTTTAATTAGTGTTTGTCTAAATTTACAGTGCGATAGATATTGTGTCAAATAAGTGTGTATGAGTAATTTACAACCTTTGAATTAATACATGTTACTAAATATTTCATTTAAAATCCGTATTATACATTTAATGGAACGTTTCCTTTAAAATTGTTAGACTATTTGCAAATAATTCTTGCGTTATTAGGAACACAAAATTTGAAAACTCTTTGTTTTCCCCATGGTTTTGTTTTATAAACTGTCCCTTAATTAGTCCATTTTCGCGTCCAATTTTTTCCAGCTGGTCCGACTTGCCTTTCTCGTTTTTCTGTATTTCCGCCAACGCTATGATTATGTCCGCTAAAATTTTGGATTCCTAGTCGAAATCTGATTTGAACCCGGCCAATTAACCGGTCAGGATTTCCATCCAGCGTTTGTGTTCTAGACCAAGTTAATTTGAGCCTGGAGGGAAATTCAAATTTTTAAATTTAAATTATAAGAAAATTCTTGTATTGTATTTAATTCTTGGAGAAAAACAATATTTTTAAATCTTTTAAATTATCATTTTATTTTCAAAAGAATTTACGAAATCCGAGTTTTCCCAAAGTTAGTATTTACCCAAATATTTAGAGGATCAAAGTGACTCTGTATGGTAGTAATTTATTACCACGTTATTTGTTATGCATGAGAAACAATTTTATTGGATTTTACTAAGACGAAGATAAGTGTTGAGAAAGACGTATAACTTTATGAATCCAATTTTTGCGCGGTTTGCAAAGAAAATTTGGGGCAAAAATAGAAGTGCAGGTTACAAAATAATATAAATCAATTACCTAAAATAACCTTACCTAAAATTAGACAAGGAACATATATATTTTTAATGATTATGCAGTAAAACCATGGTCCAGGTCAAATATTAGCAGAACCATTTTTCCATCAGCTAACTAGATGGCATTTTAAAAGCACAACTTGACCAAATATTATGATTTAAAAAAAATATTTAGTTCAACTAAATTATAATTTATTTTTTAAACTGAATTATAATTAAGATTAAAAAATTAAATCAAAAAATGAATTAAAAAATGGTAACACACATTACAAACAGGCAAACCTTCCACGGACCTTGTTAAAACATGTATTTATTAAAAATATCGCTATTTTATCAAAAAACCATTTTGGGTATCGTACTTTGATATAGATGTAAAACAACCAATGTTATGAAAAAAATTTCAGGCCACCACTTTATATGAAGGATGGACAACAGAACATCGACACATTAAAGTATGATGTGTCTATGTAAATATGGCCAGATTTTATGAGTTTTGTTACTTTTAACAATAATTACACCACGAAGGAGGGAGACAATCGTTGGAACGAAGGGGGCAGTCGCTCCCCGCACAAGACCTGGCTATTCAAATAACAAGGTTTCGTAAAAAAATTCCTACCAATGGGTACAGGAATACGAGAAAACCATGCTAGGTATGTTGCTATGCATTGGTTTTGCAGTGCGTTTTTGTAAATTTTGCATCCATTTTATGTTGCTAACAAAGATTTTGAAGTGTTTGAAATCTGCTCAGTGTTACATGTTATCGACAACAATGGGGAATTTTAAATATTGTCGATTTTATTCATTACGAGTACATACACAAATTACAGTCCACCCAAAGGGGTATTCCTGATTGCATATTTAAGACTGCACCAAGCCACAATACAAAATCATACCAGACTTGTAATGTCTTTTGGGATGGTGATATTTAGCAAGTCAGTCAGGGCTTAAAGTGTAATTCTTGCATACGCAGGAAAGACCACAAATATTATCAGCTTGTTATCTTCAAGGTCTCCATCGTATGATGATTTATCTTCTGACTAATCGTAGGAATGTAATGTCTGACCAAATGCAAATATCGACACCCATCAATACCATCGATGCCACGTATCAGTCTTGTTGAAGTGGAAATAAATCCAACATATGTAAGGTGTGGCTTCAGTATTGAATTGTATGCTGGCAAACTATCTGCTTCCTAATTTTTGAATTTTATTCCATTTTTGCTTAGCCAATGAATTAACAGGATGACATGGCTGGCAAAGTTGGAAGTCCGGGCCTTCCTGTAAGAATAACCCGTGATTTTGAATTTATATTTTCTATCGGGGAAGGGTCCTTTGGTAAAGTGTGGAAAGCGAGGAATCAAACCGACAAATGTTACTACGCCCTGAAGGAAATTTGTATAGCTAAAGCTCTTCTAAAGATTGGTAACAACCTGAACGGATTATTTGAAGAAGTTCATGTCCTGCAACTACTAAACCATCCAAACATCGTGCGGTATCACACTAGTTGGTTGGAAGGACCGAAGTCAGAAGAAATAAAAAATGGATCACTATCATTTGCTGAAGATATGTCGTCCACGGATACAAATTTATTATTAATTCAGATGGAACTTTGTGAATCAACGTTAAAATGTGTTTTGCGAAACAGTGTGTTTAACTTGGAAATTCCCCCCTTATTTTGCCAGTTATCTGAAGCACTTCATTTCATTCATGACCACAACATTATTCACCGAGATATAAAACCGGATAATATATTTCTATCGGGAAACTTGTGGAAAATTGGAGACTTCGGTTTGGCCAGATTATTCACGGACAATTCAACTTTATCGACGGCAGGGTGTTCAGCGTACCAAAGTCCTGACCCTGGTTGTAGCAAAAAATCGGACGTTTTCACATTAGGGTTGGTGTTTTTGGAAGTACTGCATGCAATTAGTACGAAGGCTGTTGGCACTTTCCCAACTGTCAAATACAAGGAAATTTTACGTGCAATACAGCCATCTTTTAGGCAAGAATGCGCCATTATTTCCAAGATGTTGCGTCAAGATAAGGACGAGAGGGTATCGTCTGGTCAAGTGAAGTGGGAGTTTAGTGGTCTATATGACTACAGAAAGGTTAACAATTAAAATTACGATCTAAACAGTTGTAAATTTAAGTGTGTAGGGAATATTGGATATGATATCTCTTATATAATTTACAAAAGTCCGTTTCGTTGAAATTTTTCGTAACTTCCCAGCATTCTGATTGGTTGTTGAAATTTGAATTAGCCAACCAGGGCATAGGAATTGTTAAATCTCTTTAAATCTCTTTAAAGCTCTACCCTGAAATATTAGTCTCGCTCATATTTTATAAAATTCTCCGATATTTAACGATAGCCTGATGAAGCAATTTATTGCGAAACGCGTCGCTAGTGAATAAAACCAAATTTTTTGAAATCAGTTGGATTTGTTTTCACCCCCTCTTTTTCAAGATGCTGACAGGTGATATTATTTTTTTAATTCAATTTTTAGAGGATAGAGAAAGTGGTATTTGGTGGTTGTTGCGACGCAGGTCAACCCATCATGGTGGGTCAACCCATCATATCTCATCCACAGGGGTCTCAATCGATAGTTCTGTATCATACAATCATATAAATACTATAAAATTTTTTGCGATAAGAATTAGCTATGAATTCTAGAAAACCTGAGATCTTTGAATTATTTCAACTTTATATTTTCCAAGATATCAGTATTTCTAGAATTTTACATTTCGCAGCTAATTCTTATCCTATAAAATTCTATAGTATGTCCAAATGATGGTCTGATCCGGATTCATCGTTTAACACCCCTCCGGACGGGATCACTTGACCCGGATGGTCTCCATGGTCATAACAATTTGTATACCACCTTGAAGGAGTATGGGATCATGGGGTATTAGATGTTAGAGAGTATGGAACGAGGGGGGAGGGTGGAATATGGATTAAAAATTATTAAACATAATTCCTTAGCAACGTCAACAAAAATGTTTGTCAACAATAAATAAAATCCTTAAGATATCAAAAAATATTCTCAACAACATAAAAATAATTGCCGCCCGTCTTCACGACGGGCTTCTATGCTAGTTCCTTAATAAAAATATTGATTCATTGCAGATGCCCGATTTTATTGTAAATGTTAATCCAGGAAACAATATACCTGACGGAGTAAGCGGTGACTATAGTAATGAAACGGGAACAGGTAACTAATTGTAATAAAATATGCAATCAAATTTTATTTAATTGTCGCTTGAAGTGAACATTGCATGAATCAATGAATTAATATGGATAATAATGTTTTATTTTTTTTAAATAATGGACCAGGTGAGGAGGCGCTCTTTAATGAAATAGAAATCCAAGCTCCAACCACTCCACAGTCCAATATCAACGAAGAAAATAATATTACACAACAACTTACAAAAACCCAAGGTGAACAAGTCAATCAGTTGTTGGCGCTTCTACAAAGCACATCTAGACAAGAAGATTCAGTTATCCCGTCCGAAAAGAGTTTCCTCGAATTTCCGAATCCTGTAACAAATTTTACAGGCAGGTCTTCACTAATGGACGATGTTATAAAATCTTTAACATCGTGGAGTACGAATTTAAAACATCAAATAAACTTTCCCCTCGTCAATCTCTACGGGCTGGGTGGTCATGGAAAAACACAAACTGCTCAAGCAGTTGCAGTCACGTGCATTGAAGACGAACATTTTGATGCAGAGATTTGGATAGATGCCGAAAAAGAGGAGGAAATCATGCAGAAAATGACGTTAGAATTAAAGAATCAATGTATTGAAAAAATTCCAGAAAACGAAGGGATACTACTTGCAAATAAATTTTACAATTTAATAAGTTCCAAAGGTTCGCAAAAAATTCTGGTAATATTTGATAACGTGGAAGGGTTTTATGAAGTACAGAATTTTTTACCCCTTAACAAAAATATGGAAAATGTTGCCATTTTGCTAACATCAGTGGAGATGGTGACAATTTCAAGTGAGAAAGGAAAAAGTGACAATTATAGAGTGGACGTTTTGGAAGAAGATGAGGCTAAAGAATTGTTTACTACAATTCTGAAGGGTAAGTCGAAATAAATTTCATTATAATATTAAAAGAATGTGCACAAAGTAAAGTAATCATAAGTATGTAACTAATGTAAAGTAAATAACGCACCTGGATCTTAAACAATTATGGTAGGTTTTTTTCAAACTAGACCCTTTTTAATGTTTTTGGCAGTATTCATTAAACCTTTTCTTGGGGGTGTGGTCATATTTTTAAAATCCGGAAGTTTTCCCGTCCTCTAGGGTTTTTCGAGCCTTAAAATTAAATTAAAATAAATAAATATATTTAAAAATTTAGAAACCCTTCTATAACAGACCGAGCACTGGCAGTTTGAATTTTTAATGCGTTCGAGAAAAGGATCTAATTTTGAAAAATCTACCATAATTTAAAATTGTATTTTAAATCGGGAGTTCATCTAATTTACAGATTCGGTTGATTATACGGAAAGCGATTTGTCCCTGCTTGTCGAGGAGTCTGGAAAAATACCAATAATTATTTGTATGATGGCAGGAACTATAGCCAGTGGTGGCTCTAAATCCAGCATAACGCAACTTATAAGGCGATGGAAGGAATTCTCAGATAAAATTCTCAGATATCCCAAGACTCCCAAGAGGAGTAAAACGGAAAAAGAAAAGAAAAAGAAAAGCAGCGATGAATATGAGAAAAGTTTGTACGTTTGTGTTAAAATTGCTTTGGAATATCTAAAACAATCCACTGATAAATATGCTTCCGTGGCACTTCATATAATAGAAAAATGTGCTTATTTCCACAATAATTGTCCACTTAAATATATCCTGGAACATGTTACGACTATCAAGCAAGATATTGAGGAAGTTATTTCGGAAGAGTTGCTACTACCTCTTGAACCTGATCAAGTGTTGAAAAATGCAATCGAGCTCTTATCTAGATTCTCGTTGATCAGCTTTAGAACCATCAATTATTCCAAGATTGAAATGAAGGCAGAAATACATCGTCTCGTTCATGGCACGCTAATACTAATACAAAAGGACGAAAACCGAGAAGAAACAATATTGGAGGATCTCATTGGTTGTGAGGATTATCCAGAATTGTCGGGAAGCATTACATGCGCGGTTATTTGGTCACATGCAGCAAATCATGATCGTCTGATAAGGTTATCTAAATTAATTTGATAAAAACAAGTTCAAAAATTAATTAATTATATTCAATGTAGGAAATATTTTATGGAGAAAGGATCATTTAAAGGTTTGGTGCAGCATGGATTTTTAAATGAAGTAAAGAAAATTATTAAGACACTTGGTGAGAGTGATTCAGCCAGCAGAATCCTTCAACCAGAAAGAATCGGCTACAAGAAAATAAATGGGTTGGAATCTGCGTTGGAAAATGATTTTAAGGGTCTTGGGCGAGAGTTTGTACGGTTACTTAAAACTAATCGAACCCATATCTGCGACGATGTTTGGAACACGGGGATTAAAACGACGCTAATATTTTGCTTACAAAGACTTAATCTGGAGGTATTTACCTATCTGGTGGATGAATTGGCCTTGGACGTAAATTTTTTATCAAGCAGCCGAGGCATGTATCGAACGGATAATTTATTGGTGATATCAAGTGCAAGTGGGAAGTTGGATGTTGCAACATATTTACTAAGCAAAAACGTCGATCCTTTCATCAAAGGGGATCATGGCAATTCAGCTTTACATGCTTTGGCAACGGTATGGGAAGAGAAACAAGAGGTTATTTTTCTAGCTTCTCAGATTGTCTCAACATATCCAGCATTGCTATACGGAAAGAATATAGATGGAGAATTAGCGTTTATGACGGCTGCCAAATTTGGATGTCCAAATTACCTTAATTCTTTACTGGACAATATGGAAGATGCAAGTGAACAAATTAACTGTACTGATAATAAGGGAAATACCGCCGTAATGTTGGCGATTGAAAACTGTCAGCAGAGACCAATGTCGGAAGTCATCGCCGTTTTAGTAAAGTACGGTGCGAATATCCATTACGTGAACACTATGAAGTTATGGAACGCATGGCATTATGCAACTCGTTCTGCGTTTGGGTTCACAAAACCCAAGGACTTTAGATTGTATTTTGTTCTTAAGACCCTGGTGAGACATAATGTTGACCCTGAATTTCAGGATGGGAATGGCGACACATTTTTCCACGCCATAATGAAGCGTTGTACGTTTGAATCTATTGACGAGAACACTGTTATAGATATATTGGAGTTCATTGTTGCAAATAACATGTGCAAAATATTTGACTGTGAAAATGGAGACGGGCTCAGTGTTATGAAATTGGCTGAAAAACTTAAGGATCCTCCGAGTAAATGTTCGGAGGATGAAACATCTTCCATAAGTTCAGATGAGGAGTCTTTACACGAAGGATTAATTGAAAATCTTGATATTGTGATTGGATTTATTAGACGGCTAAAAGGCAAGTTTTGAATAATTTCAGGACGTACATATTTTTAATTAAACCGATTTATCACTAGACTTATTTGCTTCCGCAGGAAATCATCTAAACCTTGAAAGTACGCTATGTGAGAGAATCGAAACACAAAATCCTCCAAATATTCAGAAAACCACGATTATTGAGACAAATGCTTTTCTGCCTTTTCCGAAGCCTTACAAAAATTTTGCTGGTAGAACTCGGCTTTGCGACGACGTTATCAAATATCTCACATCACAAGTTTTAAATTCTGTCGCACAAATTAGAGTTCCTCTTGTCAACCTCTACGGTCCCAGTGGATATGGGAAAACCCAAATAGCTCTAAAAATTGCAGAGCGTTGCAGCATGGAAGCACTATTTAGTGATATAATCTGGATAGATGCAGACAACGAATCCAGGATCAAAGAAAAAGTGTGGAGAGAATTACATAATCAAGGAATCCCAAACATTCAGGGAAATCGTGGGATATTTCTTATCAACAAGCTTTACGATTTAATAGAGTCTCGAAACCCAAACAAGGTTCTGGTTATTTTTGACGATATTGATGGATTCGACGAAATCAAAAACTATTTACCTCTAAATAGAAATGTAAATCTGGTGATTCTACTAATATCGGAGAACGAGGTAGTCTTCCCACCTGAATATGAAGAAATTTGCACATTTGAGGTTGATATTTTCGACGAAGACGATGCAAAGGAACTTGTAGCTAAACAACTCAATGGTATGCACATATCCATCAACTAAATATTTAAGGAGGAGTGTACTCGCAAATTAGTCCGAAACCGAAATAAACTTGAAGCTCATGACACATTATTAAAAAATTCACTCATTCATTAATGTTTTACATAGGAGTCGCCGAGAGATGGAAATTTTGACCTTTGACAAACCCAACAAACAGTATTTATAATTTCAACGCCGTTAACCAAACTAGACATTTCGTTCAACGGATATTTTAAGTGTTAAAATTTATACGTTATTATCGTATGTTTTAATGTGCTGAAAGTACAAATATTACTTGTTGGTTTTAAGTTCAAAGGTCAAAATTTCGAAAACAAGTGGCCAGAGAATCCTAAAAACTTACTGGCATGTCTAGCTTGTCATGACCTTCGAGCTTATTGCGGTTTCGGACGGATTTGCCAGTCCTCATACCCAGAACCCTACTACAAAGCAACGTATTACGGACTGATCCGAATATTTTTTGAGTTGCTTTACCATGAGAAAAATTTATAATTTTTAAATGTTTGGAAACTTTGCACTTGTGCTGTTTTAGTAATCGACTCAAGGCAAATTATGGCACCTGTGTACATTTTTGCAAACTCAAGCTCTAACCTAAGTTTTCGAGATAATGTAATTTGGTCAATTTAATTAATAGGTTCCCCTGACTATAAGGAAAACGAAATTTCCCTTCTTCTATCGGAGTCTGGACGAATACCAATAATTCTAAGCATCATGACAGGAATCATTGCCACCGTTGGTCGCAAATATTCTATGAGCAAGATCTTGCACGAAATTGAAGCTGAAAAACAATCAAAAATACCAAGATGTTCGAAAAATCGTAATACCCAAGATGATTTTAGCTCCCAATGTGACGAACTTATGTACGTATGCATGAAAATTGTTATTAAAAAATTAGAAGAATCTACCAATGAGTATGCCGTCATGGCAATAAAGTTTTTGGAAAGATGTGGATATTTCAACAACATCTGTTCCCTCAAATTTATCCTGGACAAGGTCCCTTCGATTATGCAAGACAGTGAGAAAATATCGGACGAGTCTCCATTTCCTATTGAACCTAAGCAGATGCTAATACGTTCCGTCAAGTTAATGTCAAAATTCTCGTTGGTTGATTACGTCGCTGGTGATGATCCGTATGTAATAATCCATCCTCGTGTCCAAAGTTCGATAAGACATATACAACAAGAGGAACAACGAGAACACGATATTTTGAAGGAACTTATCAGCTGTGAGGATTTATCAGAATACGGTTTAGATATTCCGAATGCAGAAACATATTTTATCCGTAGTTCTATCGCCACTCTATGGTCACATGCTCTAGGTCACGAGAACCTGATAAGGTTTGTCCATTTTATTATTTAAGCTCGCTCTCTTACCGAAATCACTATGTTTTTTAATTGATCCAGAAAATACTTCCCGATGAAAGCCTCGATGAAGACAATGATTGAACACGGATTTTTCAATGATGTCAAGATTATTCTTGAGTTACTCGAAGATGATGATTCAGCTATCGAAATCCTTAATTTAGAATATTTTAATCCATTTTGTAGGGTTTTGGAGCTGGGAGTTGATTTAGCTCGAAGTGGATTGGAGTCGGCTTTAGAAAATGATTTTGCCGGGCTTGGGAAATATATGATTCGCCAACTTAAAGATAATCAAAGTGATATTGAGGAACAAGTATGGGACGACGGATTAAGTAGTGCTTTATTTTTTTCCCTTGAATTTAAGACATTAGAAGTGATGACCGCGCTGGTGGAAGGGTTAGCTCTAGATGATAATTTCTTGTCGCGTGTTGTTAACGAGGATAAGAATACATTACTCTTAGTAGCGCTAGACAGGAAACAATTTAAGATAGCAGAATATTTGCTTGACAAGAATGCAAATCCATGTATCACAGGGAAACATGGATACAATGCGTTGCATCTTTTGGGGATAAAATGGAATAAACACAATGTAGAATCGCCAACTGTTCTAGCAGCTCACCTTGTGTCGAAATATCCGAGCTTAATACATGAAAAAGATGACGCTGGGAATTTGCCTTTCATGAAGGCAGCGGAATTCCTTAATGAGAGTGCACTCAAGTTCCTTCTGACCCATATGACGGACGCAACGTCTCTAATTGATTACACCAACAAAGAAGGAGATACTGCGTTGATGTTAGCAATTCAAAATACTGCGTATTACCCAGTATCAAATGTTATTCAGATTTTGATGAGTTTAGGGGCAAACATATATTACACAAACAAAGACCCCGAGGCTTTAGCTGGCAACGCCTGGGAGTATGGGTTTTGTTCTCGTCTAGTACACAAAACAGGTGAACCAACCAGGTATGGGGAGCTTTTCAAGATCCTAATAGAAAATAAGGTCTCACCAAAGCTGTCAGGTAAACCGCACTCGTCCTATGCAGGGATGGTAACTAGCCTACCAAAAAGTGTGGAATATGTTGGGGAAATGATGGTCATTGAGATTTTGAATTTTATGAAAGAAAATGACTTGGATATGTCTTCTTTTAAAAACGAAGATTGTTCTGAAATTGAAGGCGCTGCGAACACAATGTTTATAGAAGGGATCATAGAAATCGTTAACAATACAGAAAAAACTGGGAATTTCAATGTCAAGTCCGAAGTATTTGTATGAGTGTGGAATTGAGTCCGAACTCAGATACTGTACATAATTTACTCTCTTATGTGCATTTCGTTATCTAAAATTGCGTTAAGTCACATTTTTATTATAATGAATTTTAAGAAAAATTAAAATGGTATGTCTATTTATGAAAATAAATAACCACCTTGCAGATACAATTATTTATATTCGTGCTAGTTGCTGTTTTGGAGACAAAGCGTTTCTATCAGCGTTTTCGTGCGTTAATAGATTACGACTTGAGATTTATATATTTAGTATAAATGTAGACAAATTAAATTTTCCGAATAAACTTATATTGTTGCCACATACCAGGATAAATGGAACCTTGCTTGATACATAGGAGATAAAATATGAATTCTGTGAAACTAATTAACGGTGAAGTTACAAAAAATAATTTATTAGGACTAAATTGGATAGTTCATAAAATCCTCTTTAATTTTAATTAAGTTCATCAAAGTCGCATAAATAAATTAATAGAGGATAAGATTTTATAGCATTTCTTAAATGCTTGGCTACTTCCTTTCCTTTTTCAACCGAAACTAGATATATATCGTAAGCGGTACTGCCAAGGGATTTTATTGCAAATTCAAATACGAAAGAAGATTTTAGGTTAGGTTAGGTTAGGTTAGGTTAGGTTAGGTTAGGTTAGGTTAGGTTAGGTTAGGTTAGGTTAGGTTAGGTTAGGTTAGGTTAGGTTAGGTTTAGAGTATTTTTTAGGGTGTGTCTTACTTTTGTGTAAGGTTAGGTTGGGGTGGGAAGGTGGGTGAAGGGATGGAAATTGGTTGTTTTAGGTTGGGTTTTTTTTTGGGGTTTTTCGTGTAAAATATAGGGTATGCGTGATTTTGTGGGTTTTAGACTCTAGGTAAGGGTTAAAAGATTTAATATAGCTGTGACAACATGTGGTGTAATGGGATATTGATGTAAATTAAGCGAGCGAAGCGAGCGAAGGTTAGGTTAGATTAAGAAAATGGGGAAAATGTGTCCTAGAAATTTGGGGAAAGCGTGTCCTAGAAATTTGGGGAAAGCGTGTCCTAGTTGTGTTAGAAAGGGGGAATCTAGAGGGTTTGGTTTGGTTAATTTTGATGTAGTTTGGAAAAAATTGGTTAGGTTAGGGTTTATATTTCGGGCTGGGGGGTTTGGGTTGTAATTAATTTGGCTAGTTTATTTAAATTTGGTGGTTTTTTTGTTTTTTTTTTGGGAAAAAATGTAGTTTAGGTGGGGTAGGGTGGGGTAAATTTATTCAAACGTTCTAGTTTATAATTAATGGAGGGTTTAAAAAGGGTTTTTTTTATTAAGTTGATTTGATTTTTAAGGGTTTTGGGGTAATAAAGAGGTTTGTTTTTGTATAATTGGGATGGGGGGTTTTTTTTAGTTAATTGATTGATTTTTTTGGATTTGTAATTGATGGAAAAGTTGATTAACGGTTAGATTTAGTTGATTTTTTTTAATTTTTTTAATGTGGTTTTAATTTACGTCACGTAGGGTTAGATAATTATTATGGGTTAATTCATTTGGGATATTTTTTTTTGTATTTTTTGGTTTTTTTTTATGGAGAGGTTTTTTTTATGCGGGGTTAATTGATTCCATTTTTTGGTGGGTTTAATTCATTTATTTAAAGTAGATTTGTTGAATAGTCGAAGAGAGGAAGAGTTTTGTAGGGTTGGGTTAGGTTTGGGGTTTAAGGGTTGGAGGTAGGGTTGTGATTTATTTTGGTAGTTTTCGGAGGCATAATCTGCAAACTGGTCGGGTTGAATAATTGGAAGTTCTGCAGTTTGGGCAGATTATTTCAGGGTTGTGAATAGGGGTGGAAGACACCTGTTTTTCGAATTTGCGGGGATTGTTTGGGAATTGAAAGGCTGGTGCGGCAAGAACAAGAGGACCGCGGCTCCCAGAGGGTTGAGGGATTGGAATGGGTTGTGGGGGGTTGAGGGGGGCTTGTTGGCGTGGTTGTGGGATTGGAATGGGTTGTGGGGGTTGGGGGTTAGGCAAGGAACTTACTTGAGCGCCCTCGGCCCTTGGCTGGTCGCAATAAGCGCAACTTGTACGGGAGGGAAAAACCCAGCGTGCACAGTGGGTGCACAGCCACATCCCGGCGGTGCGGGGGACAAAGGGGGCCATCGTAGGGTTCAGGGGGGTTGATTGGATGGTGTGTAAAAGTTTGGAGGGTTTAGGTTGATTTTTAGGTTTGGCTGGTGGAGCAGGTCTGTCTTGTTTGGATGTTTAAGAGAGACAAGGATATTGGTTTGGTTTTGTTTGGTTTTGTATAGGTGCAACTGGGGTGAGGTTGTTTGGAAAGTAAAGATTGGGTGATGGGCGACAGTTTAGGGTTATTATTTGAGGTGGGGCGACGTTTGGTTGGGGAGATATGGGGTTTAGAAGGTCGAAATAGGGCGGGTTTGAACGTGTTGGGTTGATTTGTTTTTTGGCGGGTAGTGAGTTGGTGCTGGTAAGGTTTTGAGGGTTTTGTTTTGTAGTTTGAAACCTTGCCAACAAAAAAGGTTCAGTGAGTTTTGGTCGGGGGACGTTTGGTTTCCGAGATGTTGGGGCTGGAAGGTGAGGCTGGGTAAAATTGGGTAAAATTGGGTGTTTTTGATGTTTTGGTGTATTTGTTGGGCGCGACTTTTTGTTTGGCGACTGAATTGATTAGTTTGGGTCCTAGTCGACAAATTTTGGTATCCATGTTGGGTGGAGGGGGGTTTGGATGGCGAGATGTGATGGGTTGAAGGTGGGTATGGGCCAATTTGGTGAAATGTGGAAAAATGGGGTTTATAGGAAAAGTGTATCGGCGCGACTTGTGTTTAGCGATTGAATTGGTTAGTTGAGATGCTAGTCGACAAATTTTGGTATGTATGTGCGGTGGTGGGGGGTTTGGGTAGCGAGATATGGGGGTTGGGAAGTTGATGAGGGGTGAATTTGGTGGTTTGGTTAGGTTTTTCGTCGTTTGACGGGTAGTGAGGGGGCGGGACTCGGTTTTAAGGGTTTTATTGTTTAGCTGGGGTCCTCCCGGACAGGTTTTGTTATTTCAGTTTGATGATACGACTTGAGGTTGTAGAGATGTGGTGATGGGTTGAAGGTCGGGGGTGAGGTTAGGTTAGGGTAGGGGTAGGGTTTTGTTGATATTTCTGGGTTCCTGGATGGGTTAGCCTCTTTATGGTTGGCTTTATTTGGGTTGGGTGGAAGGTAGGGTGAAGGTTTATGGGGGTCTGGGGATGGGTTTGTCGTTCATTTAGATTTGGACATTTGTGTTTCGACTTTGACCCCACCCCAGACCCTTAGGTAAGGTTAGGTTAGGTTATGTTAGGCTCGGTTAGGTTTAGAGTATTTTTTAGGGTGTGTCTTAGGACGACTGCGCGACCTCGATAAATTAGGATAAAGTGTTGTCGAACGAGATTTTAAGTACGCTGTACCTTCCACTAGCAATCCTTCGCTACATGATGGCACTATGTTCTGGGTTTTGCTTTGCTAGAATGGCTTGCCTAGGTATAGTGGTATCTAATGGGATCATATACTGCCTCCTAACTCTAATGGATGCTATCACGGGAAGGTGGGCAGTTCCGTTTAGGACATTGCTAAAGGCGCATGACATGATACAAATTATGCTGTCGACGGCACGATGTTATATGGATATAGTGCTGGGTGGAATCCTATCGGTGTTGGAACTTTGTGGTATTCTACTGTGGTATGGGACGTTCGCGCTACATTCGGTTGTACCAATGCCGTTGTATTTAACAGGTTCGTTTCCAGGTGTGGTTCTTGTAGCGGTTGTGCAAATAATGCTGACACCATTCGCATATATTCGTGAGGTGTCTAAATATTGGGTAGAACATGTGGTGCCACATGACTTGCTAAAATTGTCCGTATTGACACACCCTGTGTACAGAAAGGCAGTTGAGAAAAAGCTTAAGACACTAAGGCCATTCACGTTTTACGCAGGTGTATTTGATTATAGGTTTTTTGGTGTACAGTCCTCTACGAAAGTTACTCTTAAGAGCATGATTGATTTTACGATAACAGCGCTGATGGCATAGATCATAACTGGGTAAAAAAATTGAGCTCAAATAATTCTGAAAGTTGAGTTGAGTCCCTTCATTCACGTATATATATATTAGTCTGATATTTAAGTGAGGGCTTCACTCACTTTCCCTGCCGCTCCCTTTAACCCAAATATAGGGGTAATGGGTGACATCCTAAACACGTAGTTTCTTCATTGCTTCTTGTAAGGTTAATACGGATACGTTTACAACACTTGTTATCTATTCTAAATAATTAGTATGAGATTTGCAAATTTCATATTTCATTTCAAAATGTCTTTACAATAAGATATCATATAAGATAGTCGTGTAATCTTGTTTAATAAATATTTAGGTATTAATATTCTCTAATTATGTCCTCCTATATGTAAATATTGTGTGATCCTGAAGCAAAGTGAGTGAGGCAGGTGTTTAACTCCTACCTTGATGACACATTAGCAAAGTTGTACTCCAGAGATGTGCCATTTGAATTTCTTGAATTTGAAATGAATGAATTTAGGTGTTTGGGTGTTGGGGACAATGCATTAAATATGGTTCCAATTCCTAAGAATTTTGTCACTAATCCGAACGCACGTGTAAGAAGGATACCAGATTTATAAAAATATTTAAAAGAAAGTGACATAGTTTTTAGTGGGGTATTATTGGACATGTTTGGATCTCTGAATCTGAAATATTGGTCGGATTTTGGCTAAATAGGAACGGTTTTTAGGATAATAATGAAAAATAAAGAGTGTAACATAAGCAACATCAGGACACATGTATTGAATACATTTATTTATTTTTACATAAGTTCAAGCAAACAAAATCAAATAACTGACATGTTTATGTCTACATAAACATGTGACATAAACATGTTCGGTCCACTGGAATAATGGAAATATAAATTTTTTAAATTGTCGTAGCAACTATGCAGTTACCGCGTGACACTCTTAAAAAATCATTACCAAGCCGGTTGTTTCTGGTGACGTAACCGTGCTCGTATTAAGTAGATACTAATGGTTAATAAAACAAGGCGATGAGTAATTGACACACATCCGTATTGGTAACAGCTCTTCGTGTGATTTAAAAAAACCTTATGAGCAAATGCTCGTGTGTCAACCTACCAAAAACCGTTTTAATTTATCATTATAAATTCCATATTTTAATCGTGGAATAACTAAAGCGGGAACTAAAGCGGGAAAATCGAGAAGTAATGGACTCACCCCCCAATATTATGTAAGATTCTTTCTCTACTAAAAAATATGAAAATTTTAAGCCATCATACATCAAAATCGGTCGAGGGCGAAAAAATCGCTTTTCAATCAAATAAATATATATTAATGAAAATCAATCAATGATCAAACCATGAGCATACATACATATGTATTTACTCTACATAATTATTACGTTTCTAATAAACAAATAATTGTGTAATCTGAATATATGTAAATATATTTACCTGTTTAATATAAAATTTTGTTTTACAGAGGCATCATTTGTTGACACACAAAGAATTTATTGCATTTCGAATATTGTAAAGTTTAATAATAGTTCAAATTCGCATGAATACTTCGCAATTGCCTTATTGATAGCATAATATTTGTAATGAGTGGTCTTTAAAAAATTCAGAAAATCCATAAAATTCATATTGAACAAATTTTGAGATTTTTTATGCTCGTCCAATGTCAGACAAACATAGTTCTGTTGAAGGATCTATAGATGCATAGATTGATGTTTCAGGGCAAGAGCGCCTCACCGATTTAGCTTAACATTGAAAACAATCAAGCAGTCCAACCGAGTTGTACATACGTACATACAGTCAATTCTACAAGTATGGACACCCCTAAAAAAACAGCATATATCGCACATGTGAGCATATAAAATCTTGAAATTTGGTATGGTGGTAGCCCAGAAAGATTGTGGTTGGATTCCTGCCCTGGTTTTGAAATATCTCAAAAAGGTCAAAGGTCATGATTTTTTAAAAAGGTCATTTTTCAGCTACCACTAGAAATTTTTTCTCTTGGTAGTTTTATTTTTTAATCGATAGGTCAAATCCTTCTGAAAATTTTGACATGCCCTGCAGTTCTCTACGATTTTTTTGAACAAAGTTATGAATTTTTGAAAAACAGCTCGCCGACGAAATTTGACAACATCTCCCATAAGGCAATGTTAAAGTTTTACTTTATTTATTATGGGAAATTTTGTCAAATTTCGTCGGCAAGCTGTTTTTCAAAAATTCAAAACTTATCACCCCAGATTTAATTTCGTTTGACTTTGGGTTTATTTTACGTAGTGCTTGCAAATTTGGATGAATAAGTCGCGCGAAAAAACCGTTTTCAGATACAATTTCACGTTTTGAATTTGATCGAACAGTATTGACGAAGTACACTGAACTTTGGGGCAGTTTGGGGCATATATTCTACACCTACTGGGGATGGAGCCCGATAGTCCGACGAAGATAGCATGAGACTATTAATTTGTCCACCTCGCAGTTTCAACTTATGGTGATGATCGAACAACTTAAAATTTTTCTGCTAAAGCGTCAATGACTTGAAGATCAACAGATTGCTCCTGTTTTTATTCGTCCAAGAGTCAAATAAGGTTTATGTATCGTCACTGGATGAATTTTTTTATTGTTGCGTTTTATTGAAGATACTAAACGTTCTAATTTTACAAAATTCTTTACCAACAATACACATGTTGACTTATTGGATTCATAGCTTCTCCAAATTATAATCATTAAAAGTAACATGTTTACTTTCCAGGATTATCGGCTGTATTTAATAATTTTTCATTCATTTTCAATTTCAATTTCATTTTCAATTTCATTGTGATTAATAAAAATGATGAAGTGTCTGAACAATGCAAATTAACACGGGCAAATGTATAAATAAGGGACGAATCATAAATGTGCGACTCCTATGTAGTCAGCTTTTTCATCAATAATTTTTGTACTGCCATAAAGGGAAATTCTGCGATATACAATTTACTTATGCGAAATAAACAATATGTAAAGGGACGAATCTCTTGTCACCACTTTCATTCACGTTTCGCCAATCTTACTATTAGTGAAGATAACAAGGGTACAGAGAACTATGCGTCCTATTTTACTTAAATAAAAAACTGACCTCCAAAATGTAGTCGACGTCGTTGAATTTGTTTCGTCTGTTCATCGTGTTGCCTAGACCTCTAGCTAACTTGCCTACATCGCCGTTTCCACGAATTCCTCACCTTTCCTATGTCTTCGATGGTAATCTTCTGCCACTCATCGTTAGTTTTTTTTCCAAAGGCATCCAAAGTTGTATGTCGTGTGGAATGAAGTTTCTGTGTCAACAGAGCTCCACGCCTACACTAATTTCGGCGGCGCCGGCGCGAGCAGTACAAATCCTCGGCGGCGGCAGCGCCGTTGGGTGCACCCCCGGCGGCGTCCCTCGGCGCGACGATCTTCAACTCATCCAGAAATTTTCCAACCCCCTAATTTTAATGGGAACATACGTTTTCTATCCGTCCCAAGTGATTCATAAAATTCTTTGTTAATGCAAAATTTTTTTGCAGGAACCTTCGCATAATACTAGTCATTATCCACGTTGAATGAAATTTGGAAATTTTTTTACTTGACTAATAAAATTTTTCGGATAAAGCAACACTCATACGTGACCTGGAAGTCCTTGCCCTTCAACAATTTTGGTCTTTATGATCTAGATAATTTGATCCAAAGGACGATGCTGGACAAAGAGTTTATGTATGGAATGTATCTGTATACAGGATTTAACTAAAATATTAGTGCGATAAGTAAAAACCTCAATTTGAAACAATGGAGGCGTTAATATTGTTTTTGGCTTTAAATGAAATTATAAAGAAGCATCTTCACGATATCGTTGCGGTGGGAATATGTACCTAAAAATTTATCGTAACTATGCACGCAATCTTGGCTACATAATTTTAAGTTAGTTGCCCAACTTACATCTTATACGCCCAATTTATGAAATATGTATCGGTTGCATTTATACAAGTTTCACCTAAACCACATATGAGCGATAATTATACAGGAGAACTAAAGAAACTCAAAATAATATAAAAATACACCAGTAAGTACTTCGATAAACGCAAAAATAAAGCGTGATGCCAAGCACGTACGCAATTCACCATGTCAGGCATATAAAAAAATTTCTGGTTTATGCTAGATATGGCATTCGGAAATTGTGAAGGTCCAGAGATGCTAAGGATGTCCCGTTGCCAAAGTTTAATCGATAATCGATAGGCGCATACAAAGTTTTTGTCATTGATTTGCAAGTCACATTAAAACAATTTTTAATTCTTGCTCTTCTAAGATATGTGTCCAATAATAACTGAAACAGAGCACTCAGCTTCTTTTCAGGGTTAATAAATACACTAACTTATATTCCACGAAAAACTGGTATTACAAAATGTGTATGATTAAATCAAATATGATTCACAATAATGCAGCCTTCCTGGTAATTTGGAGCTTATTGGTACTGTGTTTCCTTATTGAACATTTTGCGTTCTGTCGTTTTGTTTTAAGTTATGTTGGAATGAAAGTTAATTAAATTTTGGTGACATTTATACATAATTCATACCCCTAAATAAAGTGAATAGTGAATTCATACATAAGCCGGATGGATAAATTGGAGAGCAGAAATACATGTTTTGCCATAAATTATTTAGTGCCTTCGTGGTTGATGAATTCCATATCTTCTAACGGGTGTTCCAGCTTGCCTGGTTTTGTGCACATCCCTGCTGCGGAATTTATTGAATGCAATTTTTTCTACCTGTCCAATTCAATGAGATTGTTATTTATTTAGCTTGTCAAATAGTTTAAATCTTATTTTGCTAATTGTAATATATTTATAATACCATGGGAATTGGCTTTTCCTCCTCTTCTGTATCTATATCCTTCAATGGACAACAAGCAGGAACACGCCAAGCCGTTATGACCACTGGATGAAACATTATCGACTTCAAGGCCTGCCTCCTTACATTACTAAACCATTCGCTCTCAAATCCTGGTGTATTAGCGTGAATACGTCTCATTAGTCTGACAGTCTCTGAAAGATTTCTAGAGAAGCTGGTGCGCGTGTCAAAAAAATAATCAGTGTCGGTTGTTTAATATTTACATATATACAATATGTTATACATAATTCATACCCTTATGCATTACATATTGTAATGCATGCACACATGTGTGCATGCATTACAATACATATGTATAACTAATAAGAAGTTAGAAAAAGTATGGGTTGCATGGAAACCTTCTTTGGCATACTTTCGTATGTTAAAAAAGCATTATGTACATAGATATTAAATAATATAAATTATTATATAATTATTTAACAAAACTTGGTTGCTTATATTTACATGTATTTACTCTCAAACAATGTGGGAGTTTAACCTACATGAGATAAAGTTAATAATAATTATACAAAAAATAATAAATATGTATATAATACATATAATTTCTACAGGTATGCTTATCCTTAATTGCTCAAGCTGAAAACTTACCAAATTCCGCGCGAAATTAGTTTTGTGTATTTATATATTTTTTTATAAAACTGGAGTTGTCAGAGGTCTATAAAAATTGGATCGAAAAAATTGGTCGAAAAATGGCGGAGATATGGTCCCCCGAAGTCGAGCATCTCATTAAGCACTTTTCCGAAGGAAGATTGTCACACACCAAAATTGTTGACAAGTTGACATTATCCGGATATAGTGTTTCTCGAAGAACAATGTGTAATGTACTTAATTCCAAGAATTGGCACCCTGACAAGGAGACACAACCTTCTAGCCGAAACCAAATTGCAAAAGTATAGTCCGACCAAGATAACATGAGGAGGGCGTGACCATTATGGCTGTGGAAATTTAAAAATTACGATTTTTTTAAATAGTACATTTCTCGTGGCGCTTCCAGTTATTGAAAATGTACCCAAATTTAAAGTATTCTACAGTGTTTTTCTGTTGAAAATTCCTGTATTTCATGTAACCTGATGGATTTAGTGAAGTTCGAAGAGATTAAAATGAGATTTTATTCTAGAACTATGTAATGAGAGGGGGAAATTTGGAAAAACATCCATCAATAAATTTATATATTTATGTTGAAGATGGATTGTATTTATCATCCTTGAAAAATAGTCATCATTTTGCCCCGGAAATTAATCTGAAACCCACGAAAACTCGTCATAATCAACCCAATGTAACCAGATTATACATGCGAGGAAAACCATAGGTAATTTATTTTGGAATAACACTCAATTGTCCCAAATATTGGGTCTCACCGGTATGGTCATCATCCTCGAAAAGGGCCACGTCGAACATTGAGGCCGTCTGTATGGTCAAATTTATTGTAGCAGTAGTTGAATTTTTTTTATATCGGCGCCTTCCTTTTTGGAGACCAATTATGACAAAGTTTTTGCATAAACTTGAACAATTGTCGCAAGGGCAGACGGTGCTTAAACGTACCCTACTGCTTCATCCATCGGTTTGTCGCTACAAAACGATAATTGGTTGATAGATGTCCTATTGCTCTTCCCATATACCAACCTTGCCTTTATTATAAATGCTCTTTGTTAAAGTATGTAGCAAATTCGGTAGCAGTCAGTTCATACTTTTTCGTCCACAATTGTTTCGCTGGTTCAAATGCATTCTCTGATCGTGCAAGTTGTAGCTGAGAAATGTCGTTTCGATATTTTTCTACATCTCCTTATCCTTGACGAGATGTCGCAAAAAAATGCACAATCACGTTACTTTCTCCAGTGGTCAGTGCAAATAGTACTGCATAAAATTTTCTGCCCTTGGCAGATATTAAAACTTGCATAGGAAATCCTTCCCACGAGAATTCGTAGGTCGCGTCGCAATGGAGGGTTCCGGACTTCTTCAGCCTATTTCATATCCTCGATGAATTGAATTTGGATGATAAAATTTAAAACAACATCATAGCAAGAATCAACTTACACCGGTCCCTTTTTTCTGAAATCGTTCATATGCAAACATATTGTTGGATTAAATCTTAAATCTTAGCTTTTCGAGGTGCGTTCAGAAGCTAAATGTGTACCGCTAGGGGAACGATGGAAGCGTGGAAGGGCTGCAAAGTGTTCCAAAGCTCTCTTAATTGACTGAAGGATGTTAATATTTTTTGTTTGTGTTAAAATAAACATAATAATTTGTATTTTTACAAAATTTAATTAAGTGGCAATATATTTATTTAGGGGGAATCGCTTAATTATTAGGGGGCACGAAAAATATTACCTGGGGGCAAAAGGAAACTAGGTGATTTTGCCCCATAAGCGCAATGTTATAACTTTTCCAACCTGCACTTTTTGAAAAATCACTGTGGGCGTAAAAAAAATCGCACAGAGGTGTACCGCACATGCAAATTCTTAGAATTACGTCAACTATCCAGAAAAAAATAAAACCGCCAAGGAAAAAATTTTGTAGAGGTAGCTAACTTTTGGGGTCGGAGGTCAAAAAATCATAACCTTTGACCTTGGCGGAATTTTTTCAAGATATACTGCAGATCACTCACAAATGTTTCTGGCTATCATCATGCAAAATTTCAAGTTCATATCTCTGCACATGTACGAGATATAAGAATGAAAAATGTGGTCGGAGACTTCCTGGGCCCACTGTATTTTGGGCGTATTAATAATTTTCTGGCCATGCTTAGCCCATAGTCCACCTGTCAAGTACACCCCATAGTATCGTTCCCACACATATAATTCTTATTATTTTCCATTCTCGCACAGACCTTGGTTTTACACTAATTGAGATATGAGCGGCTATTGAGGGTGCAAAATTTGACTGAATTCCTATCCACACAAGCAACGCTTTTGCGAGTCCACTTGACTTTGCATTGACTGTTATAGGATGCATTTTAGCAAAGTATGGTTATAAAACTTGGTGCGAAATTTGTATTCTTACATAAATCAGGGCTAACTACATTTGAAGATCTAAATTTGTTGGATACCTACAACGAACTGTGCACTAAACATACGTAATTCATACACAAGCATATGTATACAGCGTAACACGAAATACTTGTATATGTGTGTACATACATATGTAAATACAAATGTACGTATGTCCCTACTGCCAAATCAGTTTGTGCATGGGGTGAACTAAATATGTACGAAGTAATCATGATCGGATTTTAAAATAAAAAAAGTCTTGTACATATTCATAGATAGATATGTACATAAATATATGCACACGTAAATATACAAATATGTACATACATATGCATTTGGCTCGTGTATCAAAACTTATACAGAGTCGAGATTGCTGAACCCTTCATACATATGGAAAAGTTCATGGCATGAGAAACTTAAGCAGGAACATGATGCACATCATTGCCAAGCGAGCATCCAGTTGTTGAATACGTTTACCAAAACTTTGTAAATGAAGAATCGCGATGCTCATCAGTAATGGAATTAATAAGTTAATAATATGAATATGCTTCCTTGGCTGTATTTTATGATTCAAAAATGATTTTGTATAAAAAAGTTTTTTTATTTATTTGACATTTGTTAAGTTGGAGATTTTGAGTAAATAATTTGTATCTGAGGTATTTTACACCTATGTATTTTGATACAATTTTTTATTGCCATACATATATAAACATGTATGTATGTACTGATAAATGTGTACATACATATGTACATACTTCCGAATTACGATTTTAACAAGTCTCATTGCATGTATTTATACATACGTCATTATGACGCCGTCGTACAACTGGCTTTTTGGCACCGCTCTGATACTAAACTGTTAATTATCAGTAATTTTCATCCCGTGGCATACTACTTATGCACATATTTACATAAATATCTAATTTTTATTATAATACTTCTAAAAATGAAGTATTATTTAAACACTTTACCTGACATTTGAGAATTTATGTAATATTTACTACTCACGTAGAATTTCAAAGCATCTCTGCTTTTACAGATCATAAACAAAAATAGCTCGCACCTACATAATTTGGCAAAGTATCTACATTGTTCTCCTACCAAACCTCGCAAAATGAGGTACTTGGTGAATAAAATTTTTATCAACCGAACAGAACAATACGCGCAGGTATGGGGAAAACATTCAACAAGGAAGGATGAATATTACCGGGTCAGGAAAGGAGGACCATACATGAAGGATTTAGCCCGTTAGTTTACGAAATTCTTAACATACATATGTTGGCATTAATAAGTAGCCTCTCCTATTCTGGGGGTAGAAATTTGGTGAAAATAAGTCGCATTCTTCCTGCTGTTACCCTGGTTTTTGTTTTTTTTCACTAAGTTAAAATTTCTCCATTATCAGGGTCAGATTCATAACTCGACCTAGTTGTGAGGAGGCAGCCAATCCACCGTGTGAACATGTTCCTCATCATTTTGTGCGTTGCCTTTGTTCCTCTTGGCTCGAGCACTCCCTACGGCTACGGGCGGGATGAGTATGCAGCCGCCAAGCAGGCCGGATTGGACCGTCACAACATGTACCGCTCTTGGCATGGTATGCCAGCTATGGGGCTAAATGAAGAGGTGAGATTAATACATACACAAATTACCCCAAAAATAAGCAAAGTTCCCAGTTGAATGATTCTTTGTAATTATTATAACTTTCGAGTTTAGAAAAATTGTAAAATTGTTCCCGTCCATCAGGAATTTGTACCCATTCTACAATTAAAGTTCATTTTGAGAGTGACCATTTTGATGGATAGATAATGCTCAAAGATGCTGATCCAGACAGCTCAATAATACTTTTCTACTAAAGTTTATAATTAAATTCCAGCTTAGCGATTCGGCCGAGGAGTGGGCTTCTATTCTCGCATCTGGTCAACAAACTGGCCACTCTCCGAAAGAATGGCGTAACAGGTCGGGAGAGCCTTTAGGGGAAAATTTGTACCATTATTGGAGCACAGACACCGCCCTACATGCCGATCTTACCGAACACTTCTTGGCGGCTGTGGATGGCTGGTATTACGAACTTTGCGACGGTGTCAAATATCCTCGCTTCGATGCTAATGGGGACTGGAATTTGAATCATAATACGCAAGTTTTGTGGCGCGATAGTGTCGAGGTGAAATATTTTGTTAAATTTGTTAAACC